TACTGGCCTCTTTGTCTACATCTTTATTAAAGTGTATCCAGTGTTGGGCTTCAGTGTATTTCACCTAAGGTCTCACAAGTGCATAGTAGAATGGAACAATTACTTCCTGTGGCTTACATACAACGTTCCTGTTAATATATCCTAGAATATTAGCCTTTTTTGCAATTGAATTTTATTGTCTTATATTTAATGTGTGATGCACTATGACCCTGAGCCATGATGAGCCAGTTATTTCCCATTTTGTATTTGGGCATTTATTTTTCCTTTGTAAGTGTAGTACTTTTCACTTGTCTATATTGAATTTCATCTTGTTGATTTCAAACAAATTTTCCAATTAGAATTCAAAAGGATTTGAATTCTAATTCTGTCCTCCCATCTTGGTGTAATCTACAACTTTTATAAGCATATTCTCCATGCTCCAAGTCGTTAATGAATATATTGATTAGTACTGGACTGAGCACAGACCTGTGTAGGACTCCACTAGATGTGTCCTCAGAGTTTCATAGAAAACCATTGATGACTACTCTTTGAGTATGGTTTTTCGACTGGTTGTCTACCCACTTCGTAGTAATTCCACCTAGACCACGTTTCTTTAGTTTGGTTATGAAAATGTAATATGGGACTCAAAAAATTACTAAAATCAAAATATATCTGTAGCTTCCCCCATCTACTAGGCTAGAAACCCTGTATTATGAAAGTCTTTGAACAGTGTGTAATTGATGCAGAGAGGAGACTGGAACAATAGCTCTAAGGGATGTGAACTCAAATAACCATACTGATATTTAAATCCTCACTGGGTAACTATTCCATTCCTCAGCTAAGGCAGGAGAGGGAAGATCATGAATCTGCAGAGTTTACATGGAGAGATGTCTCAGGGGAGAGGTGTGATTTTTTTTTTTCCTCTGGACCCCTAATCAAGAAAGGCATGTCCAAGGATCCTAGCAGCACGCATGGGCATATTCCCATGGGTATATCAATGGGAGGCCAAGCTCAAAGCCCTGTGAAGCTCCGACGAGTGCACACAATCATATTTTGAGCATTTGCACAGCCTACTGTGAGGAGTATTTCATTTTAATGATTCGCACAGGCAGAGCTTGGTCGAGAACCACCACCCATTTTCTTCCATCATGACCCGTAGCTTACTCCTACTGTGGAAACTACGCCACTGTACCAAGACAGCTGAACTGAAAATAAGTCAATTTAAAATAATTGCCTAATCTTTATGGAGTCTTTTTAAAAGGTGTTTACCATTTGGCCTAGAAATTTTTAAAGATGATTTTTAATGGAAAGTTAAAAATACATGTAACTTGTGTGTGTGTGTAAATATATATACGTGTGTGTGTGTATGTGTATATATATATATATATATATATATTTTTTTTTAAAATTGGTTATTTTTAAGTGATGGTAATTTAGTTTTGGAGCATGTTATCAAATGCAAAAATAAAGAGCACTTCAAGAGTGAAGTACATTTTGTGGCAAAGTATACAGTGGTGCTAGTCTCCAACTGGTGCAGTTTGTCTTGCATCTTCATGAATATCAAAGTCTTTGGCTATAATCCACTAGACAATAATCTTGGAAACAGCTGCTATGTCATTCTCTAAAATTGCAGCCTCTAAACCGCTAGCATAAATTTATGGTAGCTAATGTGTGGGATATTGGCAGCAGAGAGACTAAACAATATTGGAGGGGAAAGACAAAGTTAGAATTGTTCCAAGTTTGATTTCAAATAGGGTTTCATGTGTGGATCAACAGATGTACCAGAGCCTAGAATTGCATTGCAAAACTTCTAAAGTTGTGATGTACAGTGCTGTAATGTGAATGCCACAAAAAAGCAAAAGAAACATTAAACAGATGTTCTGACTCCCTGTTCCATGTGTTGACTTACATGATCTTTCTTCAGTAAGGCCCCAGTCCTGGAAGCTGCTCTGCTCCTCCAGACACTCATGCCAGTTTGGATCACTAACAATTCTGCCATGGAGTCACAGATAGTCCCCTTAAACCTTTCAGTCTATCTTCCCATCCAGACAAACTAGACTTACTGATCAATGGTCACTTACACCAAAAATCACATCATACAAAGGTTACTTTTGGAGTGATCTGTCCATTCAAAATGTCTTTCAGGGCAATCCAGGAGGCAGCTCCTGGGGATCTCTGGCTTCAGTTTAGAGTCTCTGGTCCTTTAGAGTTCAAACAGCCAGAAAGACAGGAAATTTTCCTATGGTTTTGTTTTATTTCCTTCGTTCAGCTTTCATGCCAACAGAATAAGCTTCCTAGCACATAGCATTTCCTAGGTGTAATTGGGTCATTAACCAATCCTTCGGATTGCAATGGTCCTTGATAACCCATTTTATTTTGACAGTCATTCTGGATGGGTGGGGGAAGGGAGGAAGGGGACCCATGCCTGAGTTCACAAGTCCAGAGTAAACATTTTCAAGGTTATAAAGCAAAGCTTAAGTATTTTCTTATAGCAGGGAATACAGACATTACAAGTGAGATTAATGCATCCAACAACTTACAAGCATTTCATAGAGTCGAAATACATTCTTACATAGGCACCAACTCCGTGGGTGCTCCAGAGCAAATAATTAGCAGGTGCTTAGCACCCACTGCAGCTGAGCTTCCCCCCTGCCCCACCCGCCCCCCAGTGCCTCTCTCCCCCGCTGGTGGCCCCGCTGATCACTCCTCCCGCTCCCTCCCAGAACCTCCTGCCTGTCGCAAACAGCTGTTTTGCGGTGTGTAGGTTGGCTCTGGGAGGGTGGAGTGGGGACAGGGTCCACTTGGGAGGGGGTGGAAAGAGGTGGTGAAGAGGCAAGGTGGGGGTGGAGCAGGGGTGGGAAGAGGTGGGGTGGGACAGGAAGAGGCAGTGGCTTTGGGGAAGGGATGGAGTGGGGGCAGTATGAACAGGGGCTTTGGGGAAAGGGTGGAGGGGAGTAGAGGTGGGGGCAGAGCAGGGGCAGGAAGAGGCAGGGGCTTTGGGGAAGGGATGGAGGTGGGGGCAGGACCTGGGGGGGGGGGGGGGGGGGTCGAGCACCCCCCCCCCGGTAGAGGGGAAGTCGGCGCCTATACATTCTTATAAGACTAATACCTATTTTGAGCAAATTTAAACTGAGGCTGGAGGCCATGATGGCATCAGGTGGTCAGATCTTAGCTAATGTGTGCAGCCTGGGCAAGAGCTGGCATTTGGCCTGACAGTGTCGCAATATTGTTTATGGTGACTGAAGGATTTTGATGTGGCTAGGGTGGCCAGGTGTCTGGTTTTCGAGTAGAAAGTCCAGTCGAACAGGGGACCTGACAGTGTCCGGTGAGATCTACTGACTGGCACCCAAAGTCCAGTAAATGCAGGCGTGGAGGCACCAAGTCATCACCAACATCAGCCCCTACTCAGCCAGGGCCATCTCCTACCTGTGTTGGGCGACTACAGCTCCCAGCCCCGGCTCTGCAGGCGAGTCCCTCCAAACCTGGGCAGTGAGCGATGGGGGGAGGGGAAAGAGGAGTGAATGGGGGTGAAGCCTCAGAGTGAGGGGTGAGGCCTTGGGGAAGCAGTGGGGCTTTGGGGGAATAGGTAGGGCAGCAGAGGTTCCAGCACTCCTGCTGATGTATCTGGTATTTAAATATTACAAAGTTGGCAACCCTGGATGTGGTGCAAATTTAAACTGAGGCTGGAGGCCATGCTGGCATCAGTCAATTAAGAGTGGTCCGGAGTTGGAAAAAATGATTTAAAACCAGTCTGAAAGATGCAGGAACTCCCTGGAGACTGGACCACAGCTGATGTTTAGTATCAGCACAGCGTAGACAGCCTCCCTCCCTCTTTCTAAAGAATTTCACAGAGAATCTCGTGCATGTTTGCTTGTATATTTCTACTAGTTATACCAGGATGGTCCAGATGTCACCCCTTCGAACACTGAGGAGCAGAGATGTCCTTGTGATCCATTGGGTCTCAAATAAGGAAGCTCCCATAGTGGAGGTAGAGGCCCTGCATTCTTGTTTTGGGCCTTACAAATCGTAAAATCGTTTCTTGTCATAAAGGGTAACTTCTGTGCTGTCACTTTTACCAAAGATAATACTGATCCCTTTATTCTGATCTGTTTCCCCACTTACTTTTTGAATGCTATTTTTAGAGGGGGTAGAGTGCCGGGCTGAGAGAGCATGAGCTGAACTAACTTGAAATTGGGTTTGTTTAGTTTGGAAAAGAGAAGACTGAGAGGGGACATGATAGCAGTTTTCAGGTATCTAAAAGGGTGTCATGAGGAGGGAGAAAACTTGTTCACCTTAGCCTCTAAGGATAGAACAAGAAGCAATGGGCTTAAACTGCAGCAAGGGAGGTCTAGGTTGGACATTAGGAAAAAGTTCCTAACTGTCAGGGTGGTTAAACACTGGAATAAATTGCCTAGGGAGGTTGTGGAATCTCCATCTCTGGTGATATTTAAGAGTAGGTTAGATAAATGTCTAACAGGGATGGTCTAGACAGTATTTGGTCCTGCCATGCGGGCAGGGGACTGGACTCGATGACCTCTTGAGGTCCCTTCCAGTCCTAGAATCTATGAATCTATGAAAGGTCGGCAGGATGTCTGGGGGCAGCGATTTGTGACATTCTTCCGGAAGCAGGGGAGGGAGGGGGAATCTGTCGCAGCCTGAGGTACATAATATGTCCTAATCTGGCAAATGCTAAAGTAACTCTTACTATCCAGAGGAAGAGAAAAAATATATCCATTCCCTTCTTGGGAGGTTAGTTTTTAGAGCTATGAAACAGATATGGGTATGAATGGTAGGAGCAGGATAAATTCTCTGTGATGCACCCTCACCCTTATACCCCCCTAAAGTAAATAAAAACCACAAGGTAAGAATGAAGGGGTTTCAGCTTATCCCTACAGTAAAGCCCTGGCCTGGATCGCTAGGTGGCGCTGCAGGCGGCTGAGCAGATAGAGCGTGCGGCAGCCAGGCCGGGTTTCCGCTTAGCTCGCAGAAGGGGAAGGGCCAGAGTGGGCCTTGCCATTGGCTTTCTATGGATGGGTTTAGCGGGAGCAGCTGCTGTTGCACCGGGGGAAGGAGCGTGGCATGTGCCGCGGGGCTGATTCCCCCCCTTTCAGGTGTAAGTATTGCCCACGCTCGGGCTGCGGCGGGGACCCCGAGGAAGGACAGCTATAGAACAGTGCGATGGACTCCAGGAGGGGGAAGACTCCGAGACTAACGCACGGTCCCGGTGAAGGGATTTACCTGCATCGAGAGAAAGGCTGGGGGTAGCAGTTGGGTCGAGATACACCAGTAAACAAGACTTCCTTGCTAGGGACACTCCCTCCATTTCAGGAGACAGGAGCCCAGGCAAAACCCCCTGGGCATCCAAACGCACCTCACTCGGGGTGGGGGGGGTGGGGGACTCTTTTTTGAAAGGCAGGTGGAAGGGCCTGTTTAGACGGATGGATGGATTTGGCTGTGTGGCCTTTCTCACTGAGATGTCTAACCTGCTACATACTTTTAAATGCCCCTTTATAGCGCGAGCCTGCAGCCTGAGACCCCTGCATTAGGGGAGGTTTTGTGCATTGGGTAAAACTACACAGAGGAATCACCTGAACTCAGGCATGCAGATGAAGCCCGGTGACTCGCTGCTCAGTGCAAATTCCTGGGGCTAGTTACACGCAGTAACGAGCTGCTGCTGGGTTAGTGGCGTGGTGCGGTTTGATTGCCGGGGAAGTGGGTGGGAACCTGCTCAGCAATAAGCAGGGGGCGAGCCCTGGGAAGGGGGGAGTGGGGGAGGAGGGTGCTGCTTGCTTGCTACGGGAGCAGCAGCCCGGTATTTAAATCATTTTGCCCTGGCTTAAGATGGTGGCTTCGCTTCCTCCCTGTCTGCACCCATGTGATTTCTCCAGGCGGTGTCTGCTGCAAGGAGCCGGAGGCCAGACCGCAGGAGGGCCAGGCAGGGGTGGGGTGAGCGTTTCCCTCCCCCAGCCTGTGCTGTGTGCTCTCGTCCTCTGCTCTTGTAGGGCTGTAGCTGGGGGGAGGAGCAATGGCACTCTGCGGGGGCTTCCAAGTGAAAGTGTTGGGGCTCAGCTGAGGGTGCTGGGGGAATGGGGCTTGGTGGGGTGGGGGTTTGAGTACAGGGAGCTCAGTGGGGGTCTGCAGGCAGGGGGGCTGAGGGCCAGGGGCACTAGATGCAGGGATTGAGGTTCAGTGAGGTGGGGTTTGGGTATGGAGGGGTAGGGGGGTTCTGAATGTCTGGGGTGAGGCTTGGTGGGGGTGTCTAGGTATGGGAGGTCTGAAGCATGGGGGTTAGGCAGATGGGGGAGCAGCTCCCTGCACAGTGACCCCTCCCCCCATAGCTGAGGAGCACTGGGGGCAGGAAGCAGGGCAGGATGCTGAGCTTTCTGCAGCTGGGGGAGATTTGTGGGGGTGAATCTGACACAGCCCCAGCAACTCCTTGCACGGGAAGAGGAAGTCCCACTCTCTTCTGCCTCCAGCCCAGCTGGAACTAGCAGCTGATCCCAGCTCAGAGTAGGAGCCACTGGCTGGGGTGTCCCCAGCCCTGTGGTGATTTACCTCTCCACCGGCTGCTCCGGATGTCTGAAAAAATGTATCTGCGCAGCTAGGGAGTGTGGCGTGACTGCCTTTGCAGCTTCCCTGTCAGAAAGTCACATTTCAGCGGGGAAGCAAAGAAATCTGTGGGGGACATGAATTCTGCACACGCGCAGTGGTGCAGAATTCCCCCAGGAGTATACAGAACTGGTTGTTCTTCATTTCTGCCATGTTGCACGTTGGTCTGACCTTACCAATCATGACAATGTGATTATTTGCGTGCATTTAATTTTTCCTGTTATGAATTGTGTAGCGATATCAAAACATATAGCCAACACATTTATTGCAAAACTGAGTGTACTCACTGGTCGGTTTTATGTACAGATGCAAATGATGGCTTGGGAGACTGGGAATCAATAAGAAAGTAGGATTATTTTAACATAAACTCTGGAGTGCTGTTGTGAAGTGTCTGGGTTTTGTGATGAGCAGCACTGAAGAACTGGTTTTTCAGATATGGCTGGAGGAAGCATCAGGCAAAAGGGGCAGCAGGAAAGAAGACTCATTTAGAAATGAAAAGAGAACATTAAGAGTGATGTGAGGAGATTACATTTGACTTGATAGGCAATAGGGAGCCAATGAAGGTACTTCAGGAGTTTCTAAATGCCATCTTAGTGGTGGGAGAGGTAGATTGTTTTGCTATTTTCTTTATTTTTTTGTGGCGAAGAGCCTGAAGAGATTGAGTTGGTCATGTGACGATGATGATGATGGATTGAATAAGGATTTTTGTGCTTGGAAGATTTTTGGTGATATTGGGTAGAGATAGTTGTAAGTGTGGCTTCAACTGCATATGGGCTCAAAGATTCCACAAATCTGGGCTCAGAACCTGCATTAGCAGATCCATATTCAGGGGGAGTGCCTAGTTCCTGTGTCTGGTTCCAGTTGTCTCTGTCATCAACACCTGGTTCTCTTCAACTAGTGTGCATCTAACCTTGTCTGAAAATGATAGGGGGGTGTATATGTGTATTACCCTGTGGTAAATACAAAAACTACTTGCAATAATATTTGATGCTCTGTGTGGTTTCCCCCCCTCCCCAGAAGTCTTCCCATATTAAGTAACTGATCCTTTCCACACCGTGACGAAGTAGGTAAATAATATTATACCCATTATACTGATTGGGGGGGAAGGGGGAATGACATGCCCAATGCCATACAATTAATCTGTCACAGAGCCAGTTTACCATACAGGAGTTCCTGGATCCTAGGCCTATAGTCAATCCACTATACTACACACCTTGTAATCTGAAACTCTCTCTGTAATTAAAGGTCAGCCATGCAACAGTCTTCTAGGTTTACTCGCCTAATTAGCAGCAGTTCTACAATGTAAGGAGAGACAGGAGGCTGTCTTTAAAAATGGTAAAGCACAATGAGCTCCCAGGGTGCAGTATAAGCAATTAAAAATAATAGTGTGTAAACTTAGGGACAGGGTGGAGCCTTAGAGCACAATGAAGCTTGTATAAATTTGATTGTGTGAATAAGCTTAGAAGTGAGGGCTGAGTTTTTTCAGAAGCGGTTAGGGATGTTGGACACTCAAATAGAAGAATCGTGGAAGACACCTTTTTGAAGGCCTGGATTTTTCTGAAAACACTGAGTACTCGTCTGCAGAAAATCAGGCCCCATCAAATCATTAGTCACGTTTTTTGAAGAGCTTGGCCAAGTTGTTACAGTTTCTAATGCCCACGCCACATAACTATGGTAGTTATTGCACAAAATCCAGTGCAAAGCTCTGATGTATGGTGTTGGAAAAGCCTCTTTCTATATTGTCTTTGTCACTGAACTTGTAGTAATGATGATCTCTTTTGCTTTCATCTAATAGAAATAATGCTGTCAACATGTCTGTGCAGTCATTGCTTTGTGAGAGAATCGCCGTTGCTAAGGAATTAATGAAGAGAGCAGAAGCCCTTTCCAGATCACAGAAAGGAGGTATAGAAGGTGGAGCAAAGCTATGCAGCAAATTGAAGGCCGAGTTGAAATTCTTGCACAGGGTGGAGGCGGGGAAGGTGGCCATTAAGGAGTCCCATCTGCAGAGTACCAATCTTACACATCTCCGAGCCATAATTGAGTCAGCAGAGAACCTGGAGGAGGTCGTCAGTGTCCTTCATGTCTTTGCCTATGAAGACTGCTGTGGAGAAAAGCAAATGCTGGTGGTAGATGTTGTTGCAAATGGTGGCCACACTTGGGTGAAAGCAATTGGTCGAAAGGCTGAAGCTCTTCACAATATTTGGCTGGGCCGGGGCCAATATGGCGACAAAAGCATCATTGAGCAGGCGGAGGACTTTCTGCAAGCAAGCCGTCAGCAACCAGTGCAATATAGCAACCCCCATATTATCTTTGCTTTTTATAATAGTGTGTCCAGTCCTATGGCAGAGAGGCTGAAAGAGATGGGCATATCCGTGCGGGGAGACGTAGTTGCTGTTAACTCTTTGGCAGAGCACTTGACTGAAGAGAGACACCTAAGTGCCAGTGAATCTGATGAAGAAAGCCCTGAGGTCCTGCAGGTGACCAGAGTAGACCGGGAGAATTTAGTAGCCAGCATTGCTTTTCCTACAGAGATCAAAGTAGATGTGTGCAATAGGGTTAACTTGGACATCACTACTTTAATTACATACGTCTCTTCCCTTAGCTGTGGTGGCTGCTACTTCATTTTTAAGGAGAAAGTGTTAACGGAGCAGGCAGCACAGGAAAGGAAGGAGAGAGTCCTGCCTCAGTTGGAGGATTTCATGAAGGGCAAGGAGCTGTTCGCTTGTGAATCCGCAGTCAAAGATTTTCAGTCAATCTTAGAAACTCTAGGAGGACCTGGGGAGAAAGATCGAGCCATCTCTCTCATGAAGAGAATTAATGTGGTGCCAGACCAGCCCTCTGACCGTGCCTTAAGACTAGTGGCTAGTTCAAAAATTAATAGCCGCTCTCTAGCCATCTTTGGGACAGGAGACACTTTAAAAGCCATCACGATGACCGCAAACAGTGGTTTTGTTAGGGCAGCAGCTAACCAAGGGGTTAAGTTTAGCGTGCTTATCCATCAGCCAAGGGCACTGACTGAAAGCAAGGAGTCTGTTGCCATGCCTTTACCAAAGAACTGCACAGCTGATAGTGGGCTTTGACTAAGCCATCTAATTAATTAGTCATTAAAATAACTGTTTAAACGTGCTGCAGTGGAGGCAGTTCAAGAAATAGAACTCTCAAAACAATACATTTTTTTTCTTTTTGTGTGCCAGATCCTGATACGTGTAGTAATTTACCTTCAAATGAAAAATTCAAGAAAAGCAGAAAATCTGTACATCATTCAGAATAGTAGTTGTAATGGATAAAAAAATATAAGTTAAAACACGTACATCCTCTGTATGTGGAATTTTTGTTCTCAACTCAATAGAGTATACAATAATTTATTCATGGGGATAACTGCATTTAAGTGGAAAATGTTAACTGTGTTCTACCTTATTAAAAAGTTCAGTTAGAAACTCAAGCCAAGCGTGCTTCCAGTGTATCTGTGCCCTGTGACGCTTTCATCCCCTTTTGAGGGACTACAATTTTTAAAAAGGATTGTGAAATCACCTCTGCAAAATGTGAACAAATAGGATAAGTAAAAGGATAATTTGATTTTTCATTTATTGGATAAAGTGAACTACTAGAAGAACATGCACCATGTTAAACATGTTCAGTATGCTAAGGAATGATTGTAATATACCAACTGATCATGTGTACAAATGCCAATGCCCAGCTCCTCAAAGGTATTTGATTTCAATAGGAGTTAAGTTCCTAAATGCCTTTTGAGGATCTGGGTCTAAGTCTTTCACCTCTTTTGGTTTTAAAAAGTGTATATCTGGACTGTAGTATGGAAGACAGACTTAGGAGTTTTGGCTATAGCTTAACTTCCCAGGAAAAAACTGAAATTGGAGAAATTCTCCCCCTTCTCCTTGTGGGCTGTTTACATTTCCTATGTGTTGCTGAAGCAGGGGGCAGAATCTCTCCCAGTGTTCCAGCAGACAGAACTCTCTTGTATTGAGCCACCCTGGAACCAATGTCCAAGCAGAGTGCTAAGGAGCACTCTATTGCTGAAGGTTCAGAGCCAGATTCTTCGATCCTGCTGTATTCCCTTTTGTTATTCAGCAGCCCAAAGGGAATAGAAATCTCCCTTAGGTCCCCTGTGTGTGTGGGGGGGGGGGGGGGAGATAATGCTGATTTGGAGAAATAGGGTGGGTAGGTAGCTGATGATGATTACTCATTTCAGAATAGCTGAGGTATTTCAGTGGTGGGTGATGCCATCGCTGTCCAGACACTGTAAAGTGGAGAATTTAAAAAAAACATTTTATTTAGTCTTCGGTCTTATCAAAAAGGGAACACTTATGTAACTCATTTCAAATGTTAATATTGTTTAGATGTTTGTCACATCATTGCTGATATCTGTTTATGATTAGTATTTTGTTCACAATGGACAATGAAGGAATGCCAGAGTGAAAAATGGAGCACTGAGCAATACATTTTATCAAGATGGCTAGAAAGTACCTGCTGAATATTTTGTACAGTTGTTGGAAAGGTATCTTTATCCCTGCCACTTGTAGTTCAAATGAAGGGCATTCCTTTATGTTTGGCTCTCCAAGTGCAATGCTTGATACATTGTTGGGGGGGTGGGGAGGAGAGCAGAGGAATTTGCAGCACTCACTTTACCTTTAGAGAGAGAGAAATATATGCAGACTACATAGAGGGTGAAAAAACTGGGAAAGCATGTGACTTATAGGTATAGCTATGGTTTCTGGTCAACAGTTTGTCCTCTGTACCTTTGCAGTTAAATAGTGTTCAGATACACCTGTTTGTTTTTTCCCTCTAATCAGTGAGGTAATTCTTGAGGTATAGAGAAGGCCAGTGAAATTTGCATATGTTTGTGCTAATTAAATATCTTCTCCCCTATCTGTAGAGGTTTATAACTGGGTAAGTTAATGTGACTGTAGTTGAGCTGTTTGTTTATGAACACATGTCCAAATTATTCACACAGAGGTTTAGCAGTGTAACACAAAATCATAAAACAGTTGCCCACAGCTGTCACCTGAGGTTCCTTTGCTCAGAAGGAATGAAGAAATAAGGATAAATATACTCAGTAGAAAGGTGTACAGAATTTTGGACATGCTAAATAAAGATAGCCTACCCTTCTGGTATAATATCCTGGTTCCCTCATACATGGATTTGGGAAGAAGATGGTTTAGTATGGTAGGTTTTTTTTTTTTTTGGTAAAGCTAAACTGCAGTCTTCTGTGAAATGTTACTGTTCTATAAATAGGGAGTTAGAGAGAGGTCCTTTACATTCCTGTTGTTGGGTATCCCCATTCTTGAAGACAGGAGCAATTTTTCTTTCTATAATGGGGGGTGAAAGGGCAGCTCAAACCCCATTGAGTTTTCAGTAGAACATAGCAGTTCAGACCAGTGGACCATAACATCCTTTATCCGGCCGGTACCAGAATGTGCAAGAAACCTCACAGTGAACAGTGTGTGAAATAAGCAGTCCATATGGGAAGTTTTTCTCTAACCCCAGTCACACGCAGGCCAGCTTGTACAGACGTATGAAGGTTTATCACTCTTCTGTTTTGTAATTTCCTGTCTGATATGGGTAGGGATGTTTATATTAATTTTTCATACAGTCTCACTAAGTTCTTGGCCTCAAGTAGGTCGTGTCAGTGAGTTGTGCAGCATAATTATTCATTCTGAGTTTAAAAATAAGATCCCTTTATCAGTTTTAAACTTGCTGCTTTTCAGTTTCATTGATTGTCCCCTGATTGATTGTATTGTGAGACCTGGTAAATAGGAGTGCACAACTTTCTACCCTTCATTATTTTGGCCCTGAGAACTGGACTTGCCCCACTCTTTCTACCCCAACCTATTCGTCACCTCTGAAACACAAATCCCTTCATCTTGGGGAGACATTCACCCCACGCAATAGGATAATCTGGACTGTGCTATGCAGTTTATTGTTGTAGAGTTGGTCTGGCCGACCTCGTGTAATGTGTAAATCTTCTGTTTCCAGGCCTTAGTGTATGGTACCATCATGGGGCGGTTTTATCCATTTCAAACCAAAGCACTTTTCCCAATATGTGTGGAGTGTTGTTTTGTTTTTTTTTTTTTATTAAATACGCTCTAATTTTGTTACTGTTTGAATTACTTGCACATTGCCTACCTGCCATCAATTTTCCATCAATCCTATGAACGATACATGAAGAAGGTCCCAGAGGAGCTCTAGAAATGCCCCCAGGACATTGAGCTACCTGCACTTTCCGGTCCTTTTATTACTTAATATATATCCATGTTGATTTGGTGCCTTAAAAAATGTGACTTGAGGCTGTTACCCCATTTCAACATCAGCAATTTTCTGGTTTGCTGGTAAAACAAAAAATTTGTCATGGAGTGAAAGCATGGTATTTCAAGGCACACTCTGGAATCCGCTATGAGCTGAAATACGTTAATACAGAGCACCAAGTATTACCTTCATATCTTCCATCCAAGCATCTCACAGTGATTTATGTGTGTGTATATATAAAGGCTCGTAACATCCAGGGCGGGATACGTAAGTGATAGCATTCCAATTTTACAGCTGGGTCTCGGAGGCATGGAGAGGTTAAAAGAAAATCACTCAGGAAATGAGTTGGTAGAGCTGGGAGTAGACCCCTACACCCCCAGGGCTGAATTGTCTGACCTAATACTAGCACTCAACACAATCTAGAAAAGAGCATGAAAACTTTTCATTTGCTTCCCTACAAATAAGTTTTTCGTGAGTAGGGTGACCAGACGTCCCGATTTTATCGGGACTGTCCCAATATTTGCTTGTTTGTCCCGCGTCCCGACCAATGTTAGGTCGGGACACTGGACAAACAAGCAAAGGCTCCGGAGCCTGGAAGGGCTCGCGCCCCCCGCCCCAACTCCGCCCCCTCCTCCCCACATTGGCTCCCTCCCCAAATCCCCGCCTCTTCCCCGAGCACGCCATTCCTCCTCCCTCCACAAGCGCTGGCATCGGCAGCCCAGCCCAGCCCTCTTCGTTCCCCTGCGGGACCCGAGCGGGACGGGGGGGGCTGGGGCCTGCTGCCCCCACTCCGGGGCCGCCTGCGGGACTGCACCAGCTGGGCAGCCAGCCCAGACGCGACTGGCCAGGGGCTGGGCACAGCGGGCGTGCTGCTGGGTCCCTGCAACAGGCCCAGGCTCGGGGGGTTCGCGGGCGCCAGAGCCGCAGCCGCCGAGCTTGGCCAGCGGCCGCTTCCTCCCCCCACAGCAGTGGGAGCTGCAGCAGCGGCTGCTCCCGCCTCCCACTGCCCAGGTGGGGAGAACAGCCGCTGCCTGGCCCCGCGGGCCGCCCCCCTACTCTCCCTCCAGGTACCGTCCGACTGAGTCCTGCCTGCGCTCGGGGCCAGGCCGGACTCTCACTCACCGCGCCCCCGCGCTCCCCCTGCGTCTCCGGGGCCTCCCCCCAGCGCTTGCGGAGGGAGGAGGAAGGGGGGGGGTGTTTTTTTGCTCTGCCGCTGTTTTTTTTTTTTTTTTCCCCCCCCCCCCCCCCTCCCGTTATTTTTCCTGGGTGATCTGGTCACCCTATTCATGAGGTCTATTAACCCCTAATCTGCTCAGCTAAGAAGTGTTGTTAAAACATTCCATGCTGTCCTGTGGAATCTTTTTTTTTTTTTCCTTTTTTCTGGGAGCACTATAGGTGCATGTTGTTTTGTTTGAGAGCTAGTGTCTTTGTCCTATACAGCATTAAACCTGCTGTCTAATCAACTAATAATAATGTGGGGATCAGTTCCTGCTCACAGTACATACTCAAAGTATTAATGGGATCACCAGAAGGGTATTTGGATTATATATTTACTCTTGTTCTTGTTTCTAATAACTCTTTATAACTTCACATCTGAAATCTCTACCAGGAGTAATTTTCCCTTCTCTATTCCTATCTGTTTTTGTTGATTAACTTGCACATCAGCTGGTAAAATTCCTGATGTTTATTTACCTGTAGGTGTGAAGATACAAGAACAATGAAAACCCCAAAGACAATTTTCCATGTTACCATCACAATTGGCAATAACAAGCACTCTTGCAGGTAGAGTGGTTAAGGAATGAAGGGACAAGGGGAGTAAACTATCTTCTTTAGCCCAGTATTGGTCAGAAAGGTAAAGCAGTGCGAGGAAGTTTATGCTACAGCTGTACAGTAACCAGTCTGTGGATAAACAGAAGACTCCAAGCCACTGTTCCTGCACTAGAAATGCAGTTACATCATCTGAAAAAAAAATCCAAACTTTTCATGAGTGAAAATGTGGTGCAGGAAAGTGGATTCAGAGTCCCTGTTGGAGCCTGTATGAAGGCTTTCTCTTTCGTTCACATTCACATCTTACCTGCATCCCAAGATTTGCACATAGGTTTATGCAGAGATTAACAGTTAGTGGGGTGTGTTATGAAATAATGTGATGGGAGATAGAAAAATTCCCCCCCCCCCAAATCTGGCAGTTTTAGCAGAAGACAGGCTGCCATTTGCAACAATAACAATGTACATGATGGTAATGTCATTCTTTTTTTTTTAAGATTATTACAACAAGGGGGATAGCACTCCCAGGAGATCCAGAGAGACTGCCACTAGTAATGCAGAGGATAAGGGGGAAAGTTGCTACATTATAACTGGTACATGTCAACTGTGATCTGTCTAACCTGTCCCAGATAGATAAATTATAAACGGGCATAGATTGGCGGTCTCTTGAAACCCAACCAATTGTTGCTAATTTTCTACAAGTTGTAGTTTCTAAAACTATAGCAAGTTTTATTTTGTCATCCCATCAACTGGAATTTTTCTTCATTGGAGCCAAAGCCAGCAGCAGGGGTTGGTCATGTCTTCTGTCGGGATTAATTT